CATGCCAGTAGGCAGGTGTGGTAGGGCATGCCAGTAGGCTCAGCTACTTGGGTGGCTGAAGTGGGAGGATCGCTTGAGTCCAGGAGGTCAAGGCTGCAGTGAGCCGAGACTATGCCACTGCACTCCAGCCTGGGAGGAGAAAAAAAAGTAACATTAAAAATGTCAGACCAGCCGGGCACAGTGGCTCGTGTCTGTAATTCCAGCACTTTGGGAGGCCAAGGTGGGCAGATCACAAGGTCAGGAGTTCAAAACCAGCCTGGCCAACACGGTGAAACCCTGTCTCTACTAAAAATACAAAAAATAGCAGGGCATGGTGGTGGGCACCTGTAATCTTAGCTACTTGGGAGGCTGAGGTAGGAGAATCATTTGAACCCAGGAGGTGGAGGTTGCAGTGAGCCAAGATCACGCCATTGCACTCCAGCCTGGGCAACAAGAGTGAAACTCTGTCTCAAAAAAGAAAAAAAATATATATATTTTAGACCAAGGCCTGGCACAGTGGCTCAAGCCTATAATCCCACCACTTTGGGAGGCCGAGCCAGGCAGATCACTTGAGGTCAAGGGTTTGAGACTAGCCTGGCCAACATGGTGAAACCCTATCTCTACTAAAAATACAAAAAATTAGCCAGACATGATGGCAGGTGCCTGTAATCCCAGCTACTCAGGAGGCTGAGGCATGAGAATCGCCTGAACCCAGGAGGCAGAGGTTGCAGTGAGCTGAGATCTCGTCACTGCACTCTAGCCTAGGAAACAGAGTGAGACTCAGTCTCAAAAAAAAAAAAAAAAAAAAAAATCAGACCAGGATTATAAACTTGAGATGATCTCTAACTATAAATATCATTCTCCACCTTAGGAGAAAAAGGAAAATCTCCATATATAAATATTCAATCAACAAGTTACTTATGACCCTACAGATGTATTACCTCAAGCCATCAGGACAGCAACGGCACAGGATTAGGGGGAGAAACATGCAATGAAAAGAAATAGGGTCATCTTTAGTTGCACAATTTTTCTTCCAGGTAGCATTTTAGCTCATTCATTAATTTTTTTTAAAGACAAGGTTTCACTACGTTGCCCAGGCTGGACTCAGGCAATCCTCTCACCTCAGCCTCTAGATAGCTAAGATTATAGACACAGGCCACCATGCCTACCTTGGTAGCATTTTTAAACTCATAACACTGAATCAAGCTAACACTCCTGTCTCAGAGATGGCATTGCCACCCAGTCAGTCCATAGACTAGAAACCCTGGGATCTCCTCAATGCCCTCCACTCCCCATGCTCCGTATCTAATCCATCTCCATTGTGCCTTACATCTCTGTTGAATCCATTCACTTCTCTCCACCCGCTTCATTACCACTGCGGTGCAAGTGGCCCCCGTGTCCTGCCTGGAGCATCAGTGCTCTCGTTTCTTCACATCTGCTGTTTCTCCTGCCTGCATGAGCCCTTCTGGCCCTGTTCTGCACCAGCTGCTGTTGCAAGAAGTCAGGGACCCCGAATGGAGGGACTGGCTGAAGCCACGGCAGAAGAACATAAATTGTGAAGATTTCATGGACATTTATTAGCTCCCCAAATTAATACTTTTATAATTTCTTACACCTGTCTTTACTGCAATCTCTGAACATAAATTGTGAAGATTTCATGGACACTTATCATTTCCCCAATCAATACCCGTGTGATTTCCTATGCCTGTCTCTACTTAAATCTCTTAATCCCGTCATCTTCGTAAGCTGAGGAGGATGTATGTCGCCTCAGGACCCGGTGATGATTGTGTAAATTGTTTGTAGAGCATGTGTGCTTGAACAATATGAAATCTGGGCACCTTGAAAAAAGAACAGGATAACAACAATGTTCAAGGAATAAGGAAGATAACCTTAAACTCTGACTGCCAGTGAGCCAGGCAGAACACACCCATATTTCTCTTCTTTCAAAAGCAAATAGAAATATCACTGAATTCTTTTTCTCAGCAAGGAACATCCCTGAGAAAGAGAATGTGGCCCCGAGGGTAGGCCTCTAAAATGGCCGCTTTAGGGGTGGCTGTCTTTGATGAAATAAACCCTGGTCTCCTGTAGCACTCCCAGGCTTATTAGAATGAGGAAATTCCCGCCTAATAAATTTTGGTCAGACCGGTTATCTGCTCTTAAACCCTGTCTCCTGATAAGATGTTACCAATGACAATGCGGGTGGAAACTTCATTAGCAATGTTAATCTCACCCTGCCTCCATTTGCTTTGTGATATTTTATTACCTTGTGAAGTATGTGATCTCTGTGACCCACACCCTATTCATACACTCCCTCCCCTTTTGAAAATCGCTAATAAAAACTTGCTGGTTTTACGGCTCAGGGAGCATCACGGAACCTGCCGACATGTGATGTCTCCCCCGGACACCCAGCTTTAAAATCTCTCTCTTTTGTACTCTTTTCCTTTATTTCTCAGACCAGCCGACGCTTAGGGAAATAGAAAAGAACCCACATTGAATATCGGGAGTGGGGTTTCCCCCAATAAGCTGCTCCTCCTGTCTGCCCCAATCCTTCTTAGCCCTTGTCAAGTCCTTGATACCTATCCATTCTTGGACCTTAGTTCAGCAGTCACCTCCCGATGCAAGCCTTCCTTAACCTGCCACAGTGGAGTCCAATCCACCATCACTTATCACAGGTCAACAGGATCAAGGCTGTCCCCACTCTGTGACTCACCCCAGACCTGCAGTCTTCCATGTGTCAGTGGATTACTCAAGAGCCTCTCTCCAATTAGACAGAAGCTCCACAATGGCAGGGAACATTCAAGTCACCTACAAGTTCTATCAGTTCTACCTCCAAGACGCACCTGCCATCCATCTACCCCTCACCACCTCTGCCTCTGCCCAGACTACTGTGTGTCTCAGCAGGATGCTCTCACCTAAAGGCAAGTGGCTCCCAGAGGTCTCTTCACATCCATGCCTGCCCTCGTTCAATCCACGGCAGTCAGCAGGACCTTAAAACACAGGCCAGGGCACTCTGCTCCCCAGCGGCTTCTAATAAAGACAATGAGAGTTCTTGGCATTATGAGGCATCTTCTCAATTCTCAGGTCAGCCCCCTTGGCTCCCCAAGTTCACTATGCTCCAACCACCCTGGTCTTCTTCCTGCAACAGATCAAGTGTATTGGCATCTCAGGACCCTAGAACACATGGCTCCCTGTGCCTGAAGCCTGCGTCCCATCTCTCGGTGGTGAACTGTTTTCTCATCTTCCTGAGAAAGCCTTTCCCAGCCACAACACCTAATAGATGTTCACAGACTCCCATAACCCTTCACAGAACCTCCAGAGTTTAGTCTACTTGTAGTTGGTTTGGTTGCCTCTTTTCCCCATTGCCAGCATGAGACACTAAGGTCTGTGGTGGCAAGGGTCCCACCCCTCCGGGGCTCCCCTGTATCCCAGTGCTTGGCACAGGGCAGAGGCTTTCCACAAATCTGCTTGGATACTTGAAAAACTACTATGACCTTAAAATAGGGGCAGAGAGGAAATGCTTTAGGACACAGAGGGAACAGATACCCCAGACACAAGGAGGCAGAGAAAGCCAATGCAGAAGGGACTCGTCGGAGCCAAGCCTAGAAGTTCACTGGAGATATAGCATGGCCATGTCGGCGATAGAAAAGGAGTGGCGAGTCTAATGGTGGTGATGCCAAGTCTCAACCTTGCATTACCAGGGAAGCCGAGCCCCGCATCAGAGATAACTTCCGTCGATTTGTGCTAGAATAAATAAAATCCTTTCTGGAGCACTAGATGCTGTTCACATCTTTCAGAAGGTCCAGTAAAGCTGGAGGTACACAAGGCTTTGTCCACAGTGGCAGCTCCCAAGCGTGAATGGGCGACAGGCGCATGTAGTGGCCTTGTTGAAACACAGATTGCTGGCCCCGCCCCAGAGCTTCTGACCCAGTGGGTCTGAGGCTGGGTCTGGGGATCGTGTTTCTAACGAGTTCCTGGCCACGGCTGGTCCAGAGAGCACATTCTGAAAACTACTGGGCTACCGCACCAAAGAATCAAACAAAAACAGATGAATCTAGGATGCAGTTTAGCTTTTTTTCCAAAAATTCCATGGCTGGGCACAGCGGCTCACTCCTGTAATCCTAGCACTTTGGGAGACTGAGGTTGGTAGACTGCTTGAGCTCAGGAGTTTGAGACCAGCCTAGGCAACATGGTGAAACCCTGTCTCCACCAAAAATACAAAAATTTGCTGGTGAGATGGCATATGCCTGTGGGTCCCAGCTACTGAGGAGGCTGAGGTGGGAGCATGGCTTGAGCCCTGGAGGCAGAGGCTGTAGTGAGCCAAGATTGCAGTACTGTACTCCAGCCTGAGCAACAGAGCGAGACTCCATCTCAAAAAAAAGTAGACAAACTTCCTAAAAGCAAAAATTTTGGATGACTATAGGTTGATTTATCTCGAGACAATTAGGATGCCAAAGGGGTTAAAAACAAAAAGCATGAGGCCGGGCACAGTGGCTCACCTCTGCAATCCCAGGACTTTGGGAGGCTGAGGCAGGTGGATCACCTGAGGTCAGGAGTTGGGGACCAGGCTGGCCAACATGGTGAAACCCCATCTCTACTAAACACACACACACACACACACACACACACACACAATTACCCAGGCATGGTGGCACACACCTGTAGTCCCAGCTACTCAGGAAGCTGATGCAGGAGGATGGCTTGAACCTGGGAGGTTGCGGTGAGCCGAGATTGCACCACTGCACTCCAGCATGGGCAGACAGCGCAATACTCCATCTCAAAACAAGAGCACTGCTACAGTTTCCTTCCTCCATTCAACCTGTCTCCAGTTTTGAAAAATCCAGCTCTGCTCACACCTATTCCTATTCAAAGTCTTCCCATTTTCCTCCAGATTAAACTCACCGTCTTAAACCAAGCATCCAGTGTGCTTTGCCACAGTGCACCCACTATGAGGTCACAGCTGACCTGAGGGTCCAGTTCTAAGGACATCTCCAGGACAACCACTGCTCCCACTTCAGGAATGGTGGCCCCTAAGCTGTCCTGCTGCCCCAGAGTCCAGCTGCCTTGTGCTGGGCTGTCCTCTTCTGGAATGGGCACTGGGCCCCATTTATCTCTGAAGAACAAGACCACACTTGCCTGGCATGCAGATGTGTGCGTAGAATTGACACGGAAGTCCCCGCTGACCCAATGCCAAATGGGCGATATCTGGGATCCCTGGACAAAGACCCAACCAACCATGGGGTCAAGGAGAGGAGGTGGAAGCCATGTGCAGAGGGGAAACGGGGTTGAAAGGTAAGGCCAAGTCACCCACATAACACCCAACTCAACTCCACGTCACGGTCACACAGACCCTGAGGAGAGGGTATCCACACCGGAGAGGGTATCCTGCTTAGAAATGGAGGCCAAGCGGGCCAGGCGCTGTGGCTCACGCCTGTAATCCCAGCACTTTGGGAGGCCAAGGCAGGCAGATCACAAGGTCAGGAGATTGAGACCACCCTGGCTAACACGGTGAAACCCTGTCCAAAAAATTAGCCGGGCGTGGTGGCAGGCGCCTGTAGTCCCAGCTACTTGGGAGGCTGAGGCAGGAGAATGGCATGAACCCAGGAGGCGGAGCTTGAAGTGAGCCGAGATCGTGCCACTGCACTCCAGCCTGGGTGACAGAGCGAGACTGCCTCAAAAAAAAAAAAAAAAAAAAGAAAAAAAAGAAATGGAGGCCAAGCAGGCACCACACAGACCATGGAATGAGGGCTACAGCTCTGCTAATAAGTGAGGAAAGGTGTGTCTTCCCAAATTGTCTCTGGAGGTAGCCCTCCCCCAGCATGTGCCCCACGGGGGCTGCAGGACCCTCCAAGTAGGGCAGCATCTTCTTGGGCCCGCGTGTGGGCAAAACCAACTGCTGCTCTTCACCTCACAGCCTCACCGCTCTAAAGGTACGAGGATGAACATGGGAATTCCCCCTACCTTGATTTATTTTGGCAAAACAAATTGTCAAGGTTCCAGTGTAAAGCAGGGGCAAAATGCAGACCCTAACAGAGGGGTACTGTTTCTCTTTGCTGATCTGATTTCACTACTACTGATGAAACTAAAACAATGCAGCAAGGTAGCTGTTCAGGATCGGCTCCTCATGATCAGAGCAGACCTTGTCATGTTTCTCAACGGCTTCTTGGACAGTGTGAGGTGCAGTGCAATTGTGAATGGAAATGACAATTACAATCTTCCTGCTCAATCAGTAAGGGCCAAACCTCTGCTAGGTGTTTAGTGTTGCATTCTGCATTCTTATTTTAATATTTGCAACACCCCAAACGGACTGGCGCCCTTATCCCATTCTACAGGTGAGAACATGAGGTTCAGAGTGGTGACACGTGCTGTCCAAAAGGTGCTGTTGAGCGGCAGAGCTACAGAGCTCCGAAGCTGGTCTTTCCACTCTTCTGCTCACCCATTTTGCTGAGACAGAGGCCTAGGGGCAGGGGTGCAGGAAGGAGAAGGAGCTTACTCCCTGCGGGAGGAACTGATACCAAGCTATTAATACTATCTGGAGAGAGCTGTTGTTATTGGGAAAATTTTCCATGACTCTGGTCCCAAATCCGGGTTGTATTGGCCTGCCCGAGGTTATCACGTGAAAATCAGCATGCTCACTGGATGAGAAGGCGCCGGCTAGCCAAAACTATAGCACAATATTTCTTTGTACTTTAACATACTGACCTTGATTGACTCCGGCCCATAGGTCTGAAACAGACGAGTCCCTAGCATTTTGGTTAACAAACACACAAGTAGAAGATTTGAGACTGGAAGGAGAATAAAATTTTACAGTACTCAATGGATTCTTTCTTACGTTTTTCTTAAAATGGTACAGCTATAATAGAGTTTTTGTTTTAAAACTCTCAACTTAGAAAATGTAAATTTTAAAACTCTAGCTCCACTACATACGGTGACTTTCAAATCCATAAAACAGCTACCACATTGCGTTTTTGAAAATTACTTGATTTTTTTAAAAGCACTTCTTAAGCTGTTAAGTATCAAACAAATAAACAGAACTTATAATATTATCAATTGTTTTGTGATGGATAAATGGAATCCCACAATTACTTTAGACATTTGTAATCTCATCTTCCTTCTTCACTATTCACCCTCCAAAAACAAACTTTATTCAACTCAATAAATAAAATACTTCATCAAGAACTACCATTCAGGCCGGGCAGAGTAGCTTATGCCTGTAATCCCAGTGCTTTGGGAGGCTGAGGCAGGCTGATCACTTGAGGTCAGGAGTTCGAGACAAGCCTGGCCAATCACTTGAACCCAGGAGGCAGAGGCTGCAGTGAGCCGAGATCATGCCATTGCACTCCAGCCTGGGCGACAGAGCAAGACTTCGTCTCCAAAAGATTAAAAAAAGAACTACCATTCAACATCACATCAACCATTTGTCCTCCTAACATGCCAGTTTTTGTCCTTAAGCAAAGAACGTCAGACTCTGAATATCTTCCAGCTCCTCACATTCCTTCCTCTACCTCTCCAACCCAGCCCTTCCTAAAACTATCAAAGTAGACATTTTGCTTTATAAATAATTTGGTCAATGAGTAAAGTGCTTTAAAATACAAATCAATGTGCCAGGCACATAAACATCTTTGGCATTCTTGAATATTTTACTAGTCTCTGGTTGAATGCTTTTTCTTCTATTTATTGTAAAACCTAACTTAGATTTACATATACCCTGCGCTTTAAACCAGGGACAAGATTGGATCCCTCTTGCACACACATATAATTACAATATCCCAAAGTCCTAAGCCCCTGGTATTTGCACGTTCTGCTTTACAAGCTCTTGTCTGGGACCAAATGTGCGGCAATAAGCACCAAACCACGATGAATAACCTCGTTAAGTATGATCTAGTGTGCAGCCATCCAAACTACTAACACAAACAAAGAGGAAAAGACAAACTAGGAAACTCCAATTGATTATACGTTCCTAGAGGCTTTTCAAAATCAAACATAAAAACACAACATTACACAGTTGGTCAAACAAAGTAATAGCTAATGATTTCATGATTCCTGTATGTAATACTAAGCAGTCTGAGCCCCAGAATCTGTGAAAAGTTTGCTGTTTAAATGGTACACAGGCAGAAACTTGAGGGGGAAAGATGTTTTTCTGAAGTGGAAAAAATGGATAGTGGTGACCCAGGGGAAAATTTACATCATTATGTTAAGCAGCAGATTCTTATAAAAACTTCTGGTTTTCAACATGCTTCCTCTGATAGCAACATTTTGCACAGCACCCAAAGAGGAGAACAGAACAAAAAGGATGTGTGAGCCGGGCGCAGTGGCTCACACCTGTAATCCCAGCACTTTGGAAGGCCGAGGCATGTGGACCACAACATCAAGACGGGCGGATCACGAGGTCAAGAGATCGAGACCAGCCTGGCCAACATGGTGAAACCTCATCTCTACTAAAAATACAAAAATTAGGCCAGGCGCGGTGGCTCATGCCTATAATCCCAGCACTTTGGAAGGCTGAGGCGGGCAGATCACCAGAGTTCAGGAGTTCGCAACCAGTCTGCCTAACATGGCGAAATCCCGTCTCTACTAAAAATACAAAAAATTAGCTGGGCATGGTAGCAGGTGCCTTTAATCCCAGCTACTTGGGAGGCTGAGGCAGGAGAATTGCTTGAACCCAGGAGGCAGAGGTTGCAGTGAGCCGAGATTGCGCCACTGCACTCCAGCCTGGCAAGAGTGAGACTCCGTCTCAAAAAAAAAGTTTTTTTTAATTTAAAAAGATGTGTGGTAAAGCCTTAGGTGCACATGCTGATAACCAACTCTGTGGAAGGGGAAAAAGAAAAACCTTGACTTGTAGCACTGGCCAATTCCTGTGGTGTAAATATTCCCACCACAACGTATTTCAGATTATCAACCAGCTCAGATTCCTCAATCGTCTCTAATAAGTAGGTAGGAGTCAGCTCCAAGACACTACAGGGTCTACAAGAAACCCAGCTTAGAAGCCAGGAAAACCAGGGTTCAATTCTAGTTCTAGATTCCAGCTTTGTGGCCTTAGACAAGTGTCCTTAACCATCCAGCCTCAGTCCTCTCAGCTCTAAAGTAGGCAACCTGTTTCACAGACTGCCACACAAATAAAACAACATACGTGAAGTATGTGGCACACGAGAGGTGCTCAGAACTCCATACAAGTCACCTCCCTGGGGGGGGTGGGTGGGAGAGACAGGCACAGGTGGGGTGGGCTGGGTGGGGCAGCCTCCACAATCTGTGTCACCTGAGCCCCAAGACGGATTGTTTTAGCAAATCAAGAGTCAGGAGCAACTGCTGGATAAAAACAAAGACCTAGAACGTTGCGGGGTGGGGGAACAGTTAGAATCAAATTTTCCTACTCTTACTGTTAGGGCATTGGAGTTTCGTTTGTGTTCCCTATGGAGGAGAGATGTGGTCTGTTTCACCAAAAGCTGGCCCCAGGGCAATCCATCGCCAAGCTCTGACCAGAGCACGGAGGAGGGGCCCTCCAGTCAGGCCAGGGCTGAAGCACAGACCCACAGGGAAGGAAGAGGCCCAGCCAGGAGAGTGTGCGAGCATGGGGAGGGCAGCAGCTGGCTCTGTGGGTGAGGGAGATGGAAAGAAGGGGCCACTTGCGGGAAGGCGGTGGGGACCTTGCCCCAGGAGAAGCCTGACAGCGCCAGAGCCTGGGGCACGGAGCAGCGTGGGTGCCCTCTGTAAAGACAACACAGTATGGCAGCAACAGGCCTCAGAGGGTGTGTGGGAGCGGGGGAGGTTGCAGCCGCAACCAGGACCCAAGCCAACAGCTGCCTCGTCTGAAATACCAGGAATTCAAGACTGGCAGGATCAGATGTGGGTTTCATAAGGGTCCCTCTGACAGCCCAGAGGGGAGGGATCGACAGGGGTCCAAACACAAGGCAGGAGCCCCTCGGGCCACCACATTATCCAGGCTGTGCAGACGGGCAGGAAGGGGCCAAGGGGACCTGCACACCTCCCGGGCACAGAGCACTGTGCAAGGGCAGGGGCAGCACAATGACTCTGTGACAAGCCAGGGAATAGGCCATGTGGTCTCTGTCGCAACTACTCGATTCTGTCCTTGTAGCGCAAAGGCAGCCAAAGGCAAGACTTGCACGAGTGGGTGTGGTTTTTCCAAGAAAGTGTTATTTTTAAACAGCCACTGGGGCAGCTGGGGAAAGGGTGATGCTGAGAAGATACAGGAGGAAACCCGCCCAGGGAAGAGGTGGTGGCACCATTCCCATTTCACAGATGAGGACCCAGGAGAGCTTTAAACTTTGGGAGGCCAGGTTCCTCTTGCTAATTGCACCACGCTCTAAATAACGCAAGACATGTAATATAGCAGGTGAGTAAGAGACGCAATAAAGGTGTCAGGGATTCAGCTGTGGCCAAAAAGAGACGAAGCACGGGCAGGCAGCGGGCGGGAGTTAATTGCCAGAGTCACAGGAATCCCTATTTACCTGGCCTGTCCTTTGGGCCCAAGTGCACAGAGGTCTTCCCTAGGTGACAGAAAAGTAGAAACTGAAACAAGGAAATCACAAGTGATCGGTAACCTTTGAGGCCATTTAGGTCCATTTCTGCTCAGTTCAGCTGAAGCCTGTTTAACAAGCATGTATGAGCCTGACCCATAAACTGTAGCACAGCAGAGGGAGGCGGGTCAGAGCACAGGACCCCAGACAAGTTACTTAACTTCTCTGTGCTTCCAAATGGAGGTGATGGTAGTACTGTCTCAGGGTGTTTCTAGGTATGAACTCAGTCCCCATAAAGTGCTTAGAATAATGCCTGCCACGTATTCGTTAAGTAAAAATACTGTGTCCAAGGCCCTGTGCCAGCTCCCACAGGGAAGAGTGTGAAATGTCCCTGCACCCCTCCCTGGGTGGGGGGAGTTCAAACAACATGCTCACCTCTAACCACTCACCACTCTACCAACTCGCCCGTTTACTTATGTCACCCAACACAGACAGGGACCATGTTTATGCCTCCATCTCCCATGACTAGGACAGTGGTGACTCACGATTGATACTCATTGTGTTCAACGTTTGTTGAATGAATAAATGATACCAGACATTAAGTCTCAACACCAAGATTTCCTTTTCTACGTAACTGACAGATAACACTGCAACCTAAGTCACCCCCTGGCCACTCTGACCTTGGACCCCTGCCCCTCTGTGGTGTCTGGGGTCTGATATCAACATGTACAACAGTGCTTTGTAAACCTGAAGGCCCTTTAGCAACAGAGGTTACTACGGATCATGTCCTTGGTGTGGGAGGAGTTTCAGCTGGGGGACTGACTGCCCCCCCAGGCAGTGGCTTCCTGCTTGGATGGCCTCCTAACATTGTCAGTCCAGCTGTGATACTGCCCGTGGCCAAAGGAACACAGCTGAAGGTAGTTTTTAAAGTTCTCCCTTGCACTGGGAGAACCCTATTCATTCATCCATTCATTTCTTCATTAGTTGCACGTTCTGCCCATCAGAGCCACATGGAACAAACTTAACACTACTTTGTACCCGATTCTGAGGTTAGATTATCCACATGCCCCCAGGCTAAACATGCCCCCAGACTCTGCAGCAGGCCACAGGACCGAGACACGTGGAATGAGGGACCCAGAAGGGGTGGCAGGCTCATCTGTCCCAACCCCTGAGTTCCGTAAGGAAACTAAGACCCAAAACCCAGCAGTCCCAAGTCCTGCTTTGACCTCTCTTATGCCACATCAGGTCCCAGCACAGGCTCACCTGCACTGTCTCCTATTCTACTCTCCAGGCCACCTGCCCTTGGCCCTCTGCCACCTCACAGCTATCTTTGCGAAGAGAGAAAAAAAGTCCAGGCACGGGGCTTCCTGGGAAAGCTACTGAGCACATGGTACAGAGCCATGTGGCGGCTTCCGTACCCGTTCCAGAGAGCAAAAGCTCACCCTTGAACTCACAAGCCTCCCCAGGCACTTACCAGCAGTGAGCAGGCTTCCTATGCATTTCTCCTGAGCTTGCCCACATTGCAGGCTTTGTGACTGCAAGAAGGGCAGCCGGCCAGCCTCAGCTGCGCCCGCCATCCACAGGGCCCCACCTGGCCTGGGGCTGCAACTCCAACCTCCCAAACCCATGGTTGCTGGAAAAATGGCTCAGCAATAATTTGTGTTTGCTTACTGCTGAGATCAAAGTTCTTTACAGACTTCTGAAATCCTGAGGGGTCAGGTGGCTCACAGCTGGGGCACACACAGACTGGTGACTTGCCTGATGTCACAAAGCAGGTGGTGAAAAAGCTAGGAAACAGTATTCATCTCCCCTTACCCAGATTCCTGATCTGTGATTGGCTCACATTTTTCTTTTCAGTCAAGACACAGATTACAATTACAGCACAAGCCCAGATTTCCTCCGAAGAGCGGCAATGCAGAGGGAGGGGCCGGCAGAAGCTCTAAGTCGGCTGAGCAATCCGAGCCTGAGCTCTGCTATTAATCGCTAGCTGGCCTCGGGCAGGCCACTTAACATCTGAGTCCCGGGTTCCTTGGCCTGACAACAGGAACAAATCGTAGTAGTGGGTAAAGCCTCCCTCCTCAAATGGTGGCCACTCTGCATTCCAGGGAACTGGTTAGAAACACAGAATCTGCTTTTAAGAGATTAAGTGATTCCAAATGCATTTACATTTGAGAAGCCCAAATATGAAGCATTGAGCACAAAGCCACACTCAGACCTCAATTACAAATGTAAGTGCATTTTACACTTGAAAGGGCCTGAGGCACAAGCCAAGGTTCTCAGGAGGAAACAGACCCAGAGGGCTGGTTAACCCACCAGGGTCAAACGGCTGTCACAGTGGCACCAGCATCTGAACCCAGGACCTAGGGCTCTTCTGTATCACAAGCCCGCAAGGCACGATGCTAACTCGTGTTCTCAGAGGCAAAACCCTCATGCTATTTTTTAATAGTACCCTGGATGGGGCGTGGTGGCTCACGCCTATAATCCCAGCACTTTGAGAGGCGAGGTAAGGTGGATCACCTGAGGTCAGGAGTTCAAGACCAGCCTGGCCAACATGGTGAAACCTCATCTCTACTAAATACCAAAATTAGCCAGGCGTGGTGGCACACACCTGCAGTCTCAGTTACTCGGGAGGCCGAGACATCAGAATTGCTTAAACCCGGGAGGCAGAGGTTGCAGTGAGCTGAGATGGTGCCATTGTACTCCAGCCTGGGCGACAGAGCAAGACTCCATCTCAAAAAAGAAAACGAAAGAAAGAAAAATAGTACCCCTGGTCACCACGCATAGCGTTCACCTGGGCTCAACTTCATGTCCTCCTGGGGAGCTGTCCGCTAGCCAGAATCTCCAGGGAGTAAGCCAGGGCTGAGGCCAGCTGCTGGCTGCAAGGAAGTTTTTGAAGGGAAAGGAAGACTTAACGCATACCTTATAAATTCACACTCCCTTCACCTATTAACACCTTCCAGATGCACCGTTCACTGCCAGAGCAGAGAAACACAAAAGGGCATGAAGCTAAGAGGCATCTTTTTGGCTTCCCACCTCTTGACACTGCAGCCTGAGAGCAAACCTAGCCTGTTGGGCTTCCTACTGCTAGAGTCTGGTCCGTGAGGCTGGGAGGAACCCAGGCTCACAGTCCTGGGTTCCCGGGACACTGCAACAGAGTAGAGACGGTGAAATATCAAGCTAGGGGATCCAAACAAAGAGGCTAAATTTGGAAGGATAAGAAAGGGGCTGCTGAATTACACTAGTATGACTGGCCGGTTGTATAAGAGACAAACATTTACAGCCAACAGCTCAAAAATTATCTCTGGGTCTATTGTGTGCAAGGTATAGTGACATGATAGAGTGGCAGAGCTTGGACATCAATGATCCAGGTTCCTATCCTGGCCCAACTAAGTCAGATTATCATATGTGCCTCTCAGTAGCTGGGCCAGTCTGAGAAATTACTACCTCTCTGAGCCTGTGGTCTCCTCACCTGTGAAAGAATCCATACTCAGGGTGACTATGAGGGCTAAATACAATAGATGTCAAGAATCCAGTCCAGTGAACAGAGGTGGTGTAATCACTGCATCCACAAGCATTTACTGTGCACCTTGTCGCGCCAAAGCTTGCACACAGAAATTTTCTTACCTGTGTGTTGTAAAGTTTGGAAGTCCAAGCAATTATTTGTGATTGGTTTTACAAGTGTTCCAACGAAAGTAACCAAGAAGAAAGGGTTTCAAGATTGCATATTGGGAAACATTCTAATTTTTTTTGGAGATGGAGTTTCACTCTTGTTGCCCAGGCTGGGATGCAATGGTGCAATCTTGGCTCACTGCAACCTCCGTTTCCTGGGTTCAAGCGATTCTCCTGCCTCAGCCTCCCAAGTAGCTGGGATTACAGGAGTGCAACACCACACCCAGCTAATTTTTGTATTTTTAGTAGAGATGAGGTTTCACCATGTTGGCCAGGCTGGTCTTGAACTCCTGACCTTAGGTGATCTGCCCGCCTCGGCCTCCCCAAAGTGCTGGGATTATAGGCATGAGCCATTGCACCTGGCCCGACATTCTAATTTTTATATACCCGAAACAAACCCAATATATAAAACCTCAAATTCATTTTTTTTAAAAGGGCAGATTTCAGATACACTGTGGCAACGCTTGTGGAACTTTAATGTGTATACAAATCACCTGAGGATCTTGTTAAAATGCAGATCTGGACTCACTTAGTCTGGAATAGGGGAAGAGTCTGCATTTCTAACTGCTCCCCGTCAAGTTGAAGGTGCAAAGCCCACATTTTGGAGGAACAACGTGCTATGGTATTCCTCTAATGGCAAGAAATGAATCCAAGGAAAATACAATTTGATTTGAAAACATCCCAGGAGAACATCCGTGAGGTCACATGTACATGGAAACACACAGGCTAGCAAGGAGGCACACCAGGAACGGTTTCCACAAATGCAAACCAGAAAAGCTGGCCCTGGGCCTTATTCAAGTGAGTCTGTGCTCTCAGCACACTTGGACTAGGCAGGTGGAAGTACTCTAGAGATAGGCAAGCCACGGGGTGTTGGAATCAAAGTGTCCTAGGATATTTCAAGTCTGTAGCCTTTCCACAGCTAACCTAGCCTTTCCACCTTTCTTAAATCAGTTTAACCTATTTTCCCCTTTGTACTGAAATTTTATGCTGTTTCTATTCACAGCTGTAATTTTATAAAAGCCTATCAGCTTGCCAGATATGGATTATTCAGAAATAGGACTAAAGTGACTGTCAGGTAAAGAAGCATCTTCCAGTGATTAACTCATCCTAATGTGTGTGTCAAGGTGGAAAGGATCAATAAAACGCCTAAAAGATTCATATTTATAGGACTGGAGGTGTAGTTCTGGATATTCTTTGGTTCAGAAATGTGAACACACAAGATCCTCCATATCCCGTGAAATGAGTTTCTTGGAGAAAGCGTGCGAGGTAATCTGATCTCCAGCTGCCTTTAGCATGGACGACACATCTGTCCATCAGGAGACACAAGCCAGCTTTGCACACTGGCTTAAAATAACATGTATGTTTATTACAATTCCTGTCATAACCCTCTTGACTGCTGGGCTTAGGCTGCAATTCTGGAGTCATCATGAGCCAGTGTGTGATGTCAAGCGGTAATACTGAGCTAAGAAACCGCTGAGTTTGCAGGACTCACCCAGAAACAAGGGATTCCACCTCCCTGCACTCACCTGCTGCTAAGCAGATGCATGCTCTGACAAGAAACACCGGAGTAGGGCTGTCACCTGTGCCCAGTGTCGCTAATTCATCCATGCACTCAGGAGGCTGCTTCCCCGGCTCCACACCCCTGCTTGAGGGCTGTGTGCACTGAAACGGCGAGGCTACGTAACTAGCACCCTCATGATTTCACCCACTTAGGAAGAAGTACATACACTAGGAGCAAACTTGTGGATGAGGCGGTCCTGTTCTTCCCCATTTGTCCATTGCGGGAGGAAGTTAAGTTTTCCCACAGGCACCTTCTTACTTGGGCCAGATCAAGCTTTCAGATAAGCATGATAGGAGAGAGAAATTCTAGCAGAGAAAGGCATTCCTTCTCAGAAGGGATAACTGAGGCCCCAGGAAGTTAAGACAACTTCGTCAAGGTAGAGTCTATGCTATTGCTAACTTCACAAGAGGCCTTATTAACCAACAAGGGAGGGCACTCCCTGGGGACGGATCTGCATCTCCCCACCTGCTCCCGCCTACTTCTTTTGCAAGCTTCAGTTCACACAGTCCCAACCTCCGACTGCCCCTTAGAATATATGGTGACAAACTCTGTTTCCTGAACAATAAGCAAACGTCCAGCATTTCATGCTTTTGCTAAGATGCATAATGCCGCCAGATAACTTCAGCTAACAAACAAGTAAAACAAGCGTTTAAAGAACTCAAGCGAATTCATCTTGGAACAGGAAAAAAACCCGTCAAGCCCTATTTCCTCTTTGTCACCCACCCCCTAGGCCTAGCTGAAGGGAATGTAAGAAGGACTTTCCATTGCTCAGGAAAGCAAATGGAAAAAGCCAAGTTTCCCCGGGCCGCAGGAAGACTTGGAGCGCAGGCATAACTTCTCCGGAGGGTCACGCGTGTCTCCTACAAGTTCAGGCTCACAAGCGCCGCTCAGCTGCCGGCCTGCACTGCTCCACTCTGCGCCCGGCCGAGTCTCGCCCCGCGCGGGAGGAGTGCGCCTCCGGGTCTGGACCGGGTTTCAGGAAGTTTGTGATACCGTGTGGGGAGGCTAAGACGCCGCTTTTTACTGGGCTCCTGCAACTCCCGACCCACTGCACAAGCACGGGGCTCCTCTCAGAGTGCTGGGCTCGTGCACACACGTGTGACCAAGCACTCCCTGCGGACGCCCCCTCTTTCGGGTGCCCTCGTGGTTTGGGATTCGGGCCCGGAGCACAGGGCGCGGGAAAATGGGAGCAACCGGTAGCCCGTAACCCAGAGACCGCGGGCAGGCTGGACGCGCCGGGCGCGGGGAGGGACGCAGGGTTGGGTGCGCGTCGCATCCCCGATACTCACCGGGACCTCTGCAGCTGCTCGAAGGCGCTGGTGCTGCCGCCCTGGCCTGGCTGCTCCAGGGAGCAGTAGTTCTGCGAAGTCGGTCTGGAGAAGACGATGGGCAGGATTCCCTGAGTGAACGAGTTGAGGCGTCCCCGACTGCCGCTCCCACTGCCGGGGGTCCCGGAGCCCAAAAAGGCGGCCGCCGGCACCTGCACGCCGGTAAAGGCATCGTCCTCCTCCAACTCCTCCTGCCCGGCGCCCCCGGACCCGTCGAGCAGCTGCAGTTGGGCACAGGCGGCGAGAGGCGCCGGCCCGGGCGGCTGCCACAGCTCCCCCGACGCCCGGCCGGCGCCCAGGGGACTCGCGAATCCCCGAGCCACCCCGGGGCCGGACACGGTCGCATGGCCGCCAGCGATTAAGGGCGGCAGCGACGAGGGCTGTGGGAGGCAAGGGCCGGACCCAGCGGCCAACCCCGCAGCCGGCGTGCCCGGCGCTGCGAGCGCGATGCAGCCGCCCCGCTCGGCGGCGGCGAGCAGGCTGAACCGAGTCCTCCCGCCGCAGGCGCCGCCGCCGCCCGGCTTGGCCGCGCCGCCCTCCTCGCCGCCGCCCCACTCCGCGTCCTGCGGCGGCGGCCGACCGTCCAGCGAGATGTTGGTGAGGAAGGAGAGGGCAGCCTGGCGGCGCCGCGGGTCCACGCGCGGCTTCCGGGGGGGTTCGGGCGGCGGCTGGGCCGGCGCGGCGGCCGCGGGCTGGGGCTGCGGCGGCGGCTGCTGCAATCCGCTGGCGCCCGCGGCGTCGGTGCCGGCGCTGCCGCTGCTGCAGGCGGCCGTGGTGGCGGCCGCCGCCGCCATTGTGTCCGTCTGCGGCGGGATTTCCGCGATGCCCGGAGAAGCGAGCGGCGCCCGAGCGCTAAGCGGCGGGCGCGAGCGGCGGCGACCCGGGCTGGGCAGGGCGCGGGGATCGGGCGGCGTGCGCGGCGGTCCAGCCCCCTCGCGGGCGGGCCATGCTCGCCCCTCGGTGCTCTGGCTGGGGGCGCCGCCGCCCCGGCCCACGCGCGCGCCTAGCTGACTCGCTCGGCTCGTTCGGCTCGCTGGCTGGCTGCCCGCCGGTCGCCTCGCCGCTGGCTCGCGGGCTCCGGGGCCGGGTGTCCGTATTTATAGGTGCGCGCGCCCCGCGCTCGCGCTCCAAAGCGCTCTTTGCAATAACACGGAATCACGTGTGGGGAATGCGACCTGGGAGGAAAACAAAGCCGCAGGCGGCGGCCGCAGAGGCAGGCGGCGGGAGGCGAGGGGCCGCAGGAGGAGGAAGAGGAGGACGGGAGAGCCGAGCGGGTGGTGGGGCGGGGGATCGGCCCAGCTGTCCGGGTTGTCCGAGCTGCTTGCTGGGGGGGTTGGCGACTCCCGGGGCGCGCGGAAGCCAGGTGCGGGAGGCGAGCACGTTTCCCCCGCGCGCTCGCACTGGGAATTGGGGGAGCGAGCAGAACCCAGTGGGTTAGGTCCTGGGGCTGTGCTCCTGGGAGAGTTGTGGGTCTACAGGACAGTTATGTGGAGCGTTGCAGAGTTTTAGACTGAGAGCGAGTTACTTAGACCCCGCAAGGCCGTTGGTCCCTGAGGAGTAAATAGGTCCTTATTCATAATAACACGGGTAAGTCTACAGCCCCTATGGAGACTGTCCCACCGTAAAGTTATCGCTAACAACCATTGCGGTTGGGTCTCGTTCGTTCCCAGGCCAAGATGCAGCCCCCGGGATAAATGCACGCCTTGGGATGCGTAAGAGCCCAGAAGCACGAACATCTTCCATGTGACCAATGAATTCACGCATCCCCAATCCATGGTATTGTCACTTTTCATCTCTCTCTTAGCAAAGGCCAACGCAAATTTTTTACTTTGGCTCTGAAATATGCTCCATTTTCTGTGAATACCGAGGTGGGCTAAAATGACCTTACACTCTTTTCTCCTGGTCACCTTGCAAATTTTTGTAGATTATGATCTTTCTCCCGCATAAACTGGGACCAATGTGGACAGTTATCTGTCGTTTAATCATAAACACACGTTTGGCACCTACCATGTCTTCTATAAATACGGGTTCCTGAAGACCTCCCAGAGCAGTAGCTCTGAATCTGGGAGGAGTCGCAGTCCCCACCCGCAATGAATGCTTGTTTTGGTTGGGGGTGGGGACAGGGTGAAGGGATTCACCTGGAGGGATCTGAAAACGTGTGCGGGTTTCCCCAGGCGGTGTGGGCAACTTACCAAATGCAGTAAGGAACAATTGCCACACTGAATTAAACACCTGCTACACTTTTGAGGGAGAAGCAACGTGTTTAAGATCAACGGATTAATTTAATTAAAGGTTTAAATTTAGCCCTGGAGCTAATGGGTAACTCTACATTGAAATTCCACTCCATTTCAAGCTCAGGAAAGTAAATTGAGTAATGGAGAGCAAATACACCCTGTCCAGAGAGGTGCCGCCAACCTGGAGTGCCAGAGAGTTTCAGGTTACATTTGCTCAGGACAGAGATGGCACGTGGCCCTTTACATGAACAATTGTTGTTATATTTTATTTTGTACTGTTTTTAGGCCTTTTGAAAACCTGGAGCCTGGAGTCTATTTACAGCAGCCTCATATCAGTGAAGTCAAAGCTCAATGGCCAGCTCTGTGAAATTTCACCAGGATTTTAATTATTTTGGCTAACTACCTTGAAACTTCCAAGCCCTTTTATGACAATCGAGTTAATTTACATGACCACTGGCCTGGTTGGAAGGCAGTGTTAAGTGAAAGACTCCAACAGTGTTCCTGTAAAATATATTTTCCTTCATTCAAAAGTGATAAACGTTAATTTCAGAGAACATAAGCAAAGAGGAGAAAAAAAAAAAAGGAGGGGTATCACTAACAATCTCTTCTGTGGAAATAACGTTAAACTTAATTTTTGATATCTGTTTTGTATTTTCATGTATTTTATAGAGACATATGTATATATATTCTTTTAGCTTGTCACCCAGGCTGGAGTGCAGTGGTGTGATCATAGCTCACTGCAGACTCAACTCCTGGGCTCAAGCGATTCCCTCTGCCTCAGCCTCCCGAATAGCTAGGACTACAGGCACCCACCACCACACCTGGCTAATTTTTAAAAAAAATTTTGGCCCGGCACAGTGGCTCAAGCCTGTAATCCCAGCACTTTGGAAGGCCTAGGCGGGCAGATCATGAGGTCAGGAGTTTGAAACCAGCCTGGCCAACATGGTGAAACCCTGTCTCTACTAAAAATACAAAACTTAGCTGGGCATAGTGGTACATGCCTGTAATCCCAGCTACTGGGGAGGCTGAGGCAGGAGGGCAGGAGAATGGCTTAAACCCAGGAGGCGGAGGTTGCAGTGAGCCAAGATCGTGCCACTGTACTCCAGCCTGGGTGACAGAGCAAAAAAAAAAAGAGAAAAATTTTTTTGTAGAGTTGAAGTCTCACTATGTTGCCCAGGCTGGTCTGGAACTTCCAGCCGCAATCAGTCCTCCCATGGTGGCCTCCCAAAGCACTGGGATTACAGGTGTGAGCTGCCATGCCTGGCCTTGGGTGTGTTTTTTAAACAAAAGTGAAATCGGGCTGTTTTGTCTCTTGTGATTTTTGCCTGCTGTGTTGTGATTTTCTTTCCATGTAGAATATTTTTCTACATGGAAGAATTTTTATTTTAATGACTACATAGTGTTCAATTTGATGGAGAGACTGTACCCTTTTAAACCTGTGCATTTAATAAATTTGTGGTTTCCACGTTTGCTCTTATAAAGTGATGATGACTTCCTTTTTGTTTTTCTAAATCTTGCTACCACCCAATATTATTTTCTTAGGTTAAATAGATGCTGGGGCAAATGGCATTTCATGTTTTTAAGGTTTTCATCCATAAAGGTTGTTCAGTCTGCTTTCTTACAATTTTACTGGGTATTGAAATGTTTCTATCATCCCCCAAAATATGTACAACCATGATACATCGATTAAAAAAATACTAAAAAGTTTCCATCAATATTCATTTTTTATAACCTTCATTTTCTGTAACCTTTTGTCTACGTGAAGTGTGAAGTATGAAACTAATTTCAAATATTTATTAAAGCATCAAATAAGAATCAATGTCTAATCTCTGGCCAGGCGTGGTGGCTCCGCCTGTAATCCCAGCACTTTGGGAGACTGAGGTGGGTGGATCACAAGGTCAGGAGATCGAGACTATCCTGGCTAACACGGCAAAACCCCGTCTCTACTAAAAATACAAAAAATTAGCCAGGCGTGCTGGCGTATGCCTATAGTCCCAGCAGCTGGGGAGGCTGAGGCAGGAGAATGGCGTGAACCTGGGAGGCGGAGCGTGCAGTGAGCTGAGATCGCACCACTGCACTCCAGCCTAGGGGACAGAGTGAGACTCCGTCTCAAAAAAAAAAAAGAAAGAAAATGTCTAATCTCCAAACTGCTTCCGTGACCCCCTTCTGGGGATCTTGAGATATGGTTTATTGTTCACCTACTGTATGCCAGCCACAGAGTATTTCTAATCTTTATAACCACCCTGTGGTGGTGGTGAAAGCCTTATCAATATTTTACAGACGAGGCTCAGAAAAATTAAATAATTTGCCCCAAGTCATCTAGCTCTTAGCTGGGGTGGGCCAGTATACAAACCCATCAGACTCCAAGACCCATCCATGCATGTTCTTGCGCCCTCTGCTGGTAAGGATGTTTAATGGTAGAGAACAGTGTCCAGACATAATCTTACATCCATACTTGAGGTCAACTATTATGGAATAATGCAAACTTTGGAGTAAGAGGATCTGGGTTTCAAGAGCAGGCCACTTACCCTCTCTGAGTCAGTTTTCTCTGTGGGTTATTGTGAGGTACAAATGAGACTGCTGAGGAATATTTTACAAACTTTAAAGTACTTTTTAAAATGTCAGTTGTTATTTATGCCATTCTAATCTACTTAGTCCCTGAATTATTCCAAATTTATTTATTTTTCAACTACTTAGTCATTGATCAAGTTTTATCAAACAACTTCTACATCCACAGTACCATCTGTGACAAAGGGATAAAAAGAAATGTGGCCCTTAGCCCTTGTGACCTTGATAGTTAAACCATGGAAAACACATTTAAATGAAAATGCAAAGCCAACCCTGATTAAGTTTCAAATGCGCAACTGGACTATAAGCATTATCAGAATATGGAAAAGAAGTGTTTTATCTGCAGTGACGGGGAAGGCCTTAGGCAAGAGCCAGGATTTGAGCTGACCTAGGAGATTCAGAAGGCCAGGAGGAGGATCCTTGCAGAAGAGGAAGTTTGGCATACAGATTCCTCATGCATCGCAGGCCTGGAGGACTAGAACTTGAAATGTGATTCGACTTGGTCAGCCACGTGTCCCCTCTCCCCCTTCCCTTTTATATTGTCCCTTTCGAGTGCCCATTCTGAAACATTTTTGCGCGCATGAATTCAAAACGCATGCACTGTTTTGATGGAGACATATTGGAGGTCAGTTTTTAAAAACAAAGGAAAAAACCTACAAGTAATCACTGTCCCTTAAAAAAATAATAATTCAGGAGAGTAAGAAGTCTGAAAATTAGCTTAGGCTCCAAGAAACATGCAACCTTGTAAGGTCTCCAGTTTGGGGATATCATAAGCTTTGTACCTTGGTAGCCTCTCCTACCTTATCTATGGGTGAAGGTAGGTGTTGCAATATTTTACCTTGCAGGGTTGTGAGGGTTACCAACAGTATAAATTATGTAACTAGCAGAGTACCTGTAGTTCAGTAGGTAACTATTATTAGAAAAATGCAAAATACAGAAGGTGCACATTAAAAAGCCCAAAATGTTTTAGGTTCTAGGTTTTTATCGTTTTCACTGATCCTGAGACCAATGAAATATTAGCATACCTTTCTAGGCAGGACCATGAGAAGCTTCAGCTGTTAGCTCCTGCTTAAGTCAGATTATTTTACGGTATTTTCCATCAAAGTACAGGCTGGTGCGGGCTGCTGGAACACGCACTGGACTGTCAATCTAACATAGGCATAGTCTCCCTGAGAAACCTGCTGCTTTCCTTAATCCAGTGAAAGTTAAATCCTGGCCGGGCGTGGTGGCTCACGCCTGTAATCCCAGCACTTTGAGAGGCCGAGGTGGGTAGATCACCTGAGGTCAGGACTTCAAGACCAGCCTGGCCAACATGGTGAAACCCCATCTCTACTAAAAATACAAAAATTAGCTGGGCGTGGTGGCATGCGCCTGTAATCTGAGCTACTCAGGAGGCTAAGGCAGGAGAGTCGCTTGAACCTAGGATGCAGAAGTTCAGTGAGCCAAGATCACGCCATTGCAGTCCAGCCTGGGTGACAAGAGCAAGACTGTCTTTAAAAAAAAAAAGGCAGTTAAATCCTCTGAGACTAGAAGTAGAGAATGATCAAGAGGTGGTCCTCGATGCCCCAGCTCTTCTCCATGAAGTTTGCCTTACCCATAGGAACTTTTGATCATTTCTGCTGGCCTGAGAGAATGGGAGGAAGAGAGGATGGGGGTAGGGTTATTCTTTGCCCTTTTTCAATTTGGCATAGAAACTTTAATTTCCTTCCTTAATTCCCCAGGACATCGGAGATCAGATACAACATTTGAATAAGACTTGACTAGAAGCTCAGGGATGTTAGATGTAGAAATAAACCCAACGAGTAATATAGAACCCCATATAGCAGCTTACAAACGTGACTTACTCATAACCCTCATCCCAGTATTTCCTGAATGCCAATCCCATGCCAGGTCTGAGTTAGGTTCTGTGAGTACCAAGGAGAACAGGATGTGGTCCTATCCTGGAGCCCTCAAACTAATAGCAGAGAAACACATACTAATATTTTCTGCATCATACAGTGTATTTTTAAAAAGTTTCAAAAGAGCTGTAGGCCGGGTGCGGTGGCTTACGTCTGTAATCCCAGCACTTTGGGAGGCCAAGGTGGGCGGATCATGAGGTCGGGAGTTCGAGATCAGCCTGACCAACATGGTGAAACCCCGTCTACCAAAAATAGAAAAATTAGCCGAGTGTGGTGGCACGTGCCTGTAATCCCAGCTACCCAGGAGGCAGAGGCAGGAGAATTGTCTGAACCTGGGAGGCGGAGGTCAGAGTGGGCCGAGATCACACCACTGCACTCCAGCCTGGGTGACAGAGTAAGACTCCGTCTCAAAAAAAAAAAAAGCTTAATTTTTATTCTTAGTTTTGAGATGGGGTGTCACTCTGTCACCCAGGCTGGAGTACAACAGCAGGATCATGGCTCACTGCAGCCTTGAACTCCTGAGCTCAAGCGATCCTCCCACCTCAGCCCCTCAAGCACCTGAGAATATAGGTGTGTACCACCATACCTGGCTAATTTTTGTATTTTTTGTAGCAACAGGGGTCTCGCTCTGTTGCCTAGGCTGGTCTCGAATTCCTGGCCTCAAGCTATCCTCCTACCTTGGTCTTCCAAAGTGCGGGGGTTACAAGTGTGAGCCACTGTTCCTGGCCAAGATACCCTGTTAAATGTGAAAACCTGTTTTTTTCTACTCACACAGAACGCTTCTGACACCAAGTATGTGTGGGGATTTTCCTACATCAACCAATGCTTGGACTCTCAGACACCCCCTGGGTGTCCTACAAGTCAGCTCAATTCTGACACTATCTCCCTGGAGTGAGGGTCAAATCTCACAAGCAAAGGGCCCTGTCCCACAAGACTGCCCCCCACTTCAGATACCAATTGCAGGCAGTGGGTCCCGAAGTTACCCACACTTCTGTCCAACTTGGCTACAAATCGGGGCCTCCCAAGATTCGATCATTTGCTGTGATGGCTCACAGAACACAAGG